ATTTAAGAAAAATAAATTCTTGTTTTTTATTATAGCATAATTAAGTTCGTTTTTTGAATTTCGCATTTTTGTTTGAATAGCTCAAATTGGCACCCCGTCATATAAAATAAATTTGGTCTAATCCTATACGAGGATGGATGATGGTCAGATTGACCTGTCGGTTGTACAATTGTTTGATAAGGAGTGCGTTGCAATTCTGGACAAATCCCCCGGTGTACATCTTTACGTTTTCAGTAGGTTGAAACTGGAGTGGGTAAGCCTTTTTCAATATATTAATAGTGTTATAATTCTAGGAAAAAACCGATATTGGTGGGGTTTTATTTGTTTGTGAACGGAGCTCAAATCCCCAGTATGTATTTCACGTCATAAATCGGAATGACTCGTCAAAAAATTCCACTCAACCTATCACTTCAACTCTGGAGATTCTACTGCGACCTCCACACATTTTCTACAGAACATCACTCACGATTTTCTCTATGTGGTTTTGTGTTTCAAACGATTGCAAACGCATTTATGAGCTTCTCAAAAGGTAATCATGTTTACATGGACTGCTGAAACACTTTTAATCATTCTAAGTCTACCTTTTCAAAATTTATCGCAGGGTGATCAATAGCATTAGTTTTAAGGAGAAAGCTGCTAAAGACGTTTTCTTCCTACCTCCTGAGAAGACTTCACTCGATGAAGCTGTTAAAATAACTTCCCCAGGTCCAAATATTCGTCAACTCCTATCTTCCGCATCAGAGGAATTTGAAGTGAGTGAAGGTCTACACCGTCTATTTTTCAATTTCCCACAACATGTACTGAATCCCGTCTTTTTTTAACTTTTTTAGCGTTCTATAAATGAGGACGGTAGGTCTGCCATCTTCTTCCATCTTCTAGATTCCTCAAAGTCTGTCACTCCTGCGCTAGATCCATCAAACTCTCTAAAATTCCACCTGTCCCACATGTATGCACAAGTTTTTAGATTGATTGAAATCTTTCCAATGCCACTAACGTGGGTGCATTTCCTAAAATCTAGCGCCATGGATGCCCCGCCTATCTCAGACTCGACAGATTGCCAGTTTGCTTCTGACTTGGAACGAACGCTGAAAGAGGCGACCACACCAAAGATGGAGGAAGCTGTGACTTCCATACCAGGTGAGGGATGAGCCTTACCCACGGCTTTTTCCTGTGTGCCTAGAAGTGGTTTCTTTCCGAATGCACAAAATAGCTGACAGATAGGTAACGCACCCCTTAGTCTTATTTTGAGCATTTTCTCGGCCCTTCTTCGCATCGTGTTCCTGCGTGAACCGCAAGTGACCAAGCCACATCATCAAGGATAATGTAATACTCCTTACGCCACAACAAGAATGCTCATCGTCTTGGTCTTGAACTCGGACGGGATCCCATAGTACCAGACTGCATCATAGTGGGGATTCACTTGGGTATCAGGGATGAAGATTGGACGGCCGCTTGTCGTAAAGTACCTGCGTAACCGCAACATGGGACGGTGTGAGGCTTGGAGCACTTTTTAGTAGTTGAAGCAATTTCAGTAACTTCCGTTGATCCCAGCAGTCCATTATTCACAACGGATGCCCTCCACCTGTGACTGTTGGCAGCATTGCTCCCTTAGAGGGTTAATTGATTTCCGAATCGTAAAAGAACTTTAAGACTATTGTTATTTGGATATTTCCCCATAAAACTCCAAACTGATTTTCTTTTCCCCAAGTTTTCTCAAAAAAGGAAAATGAAGATAAGGTGAATGAAGAGCTGTTACGACGGCTGCGGAACGAAGCCAAGATGATTAGGCAGGACAGCAAGGCAACTTCCACCAACTCTGTCGAGGGGCTCACTCGTAGTCAGCTGAAGGCTGCACTGCTATACATGATCGAAGTGAGTTAACAGGAGGGGACCTCCATTTCGATTTTGCAACACTTTTCTCCACTCTGCAATTTCCTTGTAGAATGACGATGAATTCCTAACATCAATCCACTCGGCCTATACGGAGAGTTTGAACAGGCGGCTGCATCAAGCTAGCTAGCTAGTGTAGCTCTCATTCGACGGAATTTTGCTAGTTAACACCGACGATGACGACACCCAAATGCTTTTCACTAAGGCAATGTAAATCGTGCGTTTAGAGTAAAGAGTTTTCTTTCTTTTTTTACCTCTACCATAAGGTTGTGAAGTTCTGAAGGAAGAAGGATGATGGGATTGTTTCTTTTTAAAAAGAAAGTATCTGTTGTTACTGCTGATCGGACGAGGATAGAAAAATACATGTCGTGGCGTGAACTATGGTAGCGCTGGAATCTAAAATGGTTAAAAAAGAAATACGTTAGTATGTGTCAGGACAAGTGTTCCAGGCACGGTATGGATGAAACGCGTTCCAAGTTTATGAGGGTGTTCGGAGCTACTCTTCGCGCAACCCCATCTGTCGACCTGGCAACACTAGGTTATTGCCGTTTTGCTTTGTCGCGATGTTTAACTCCGTTCCAAAGCTACAGGAGGCGAGGTGACGGAGCATGTAACTCAGGAATGGTTTGAACCAGTTGACTACTTTGGTGGTGAATCTCGTCAGGGGAGGCAAATCCTCTCATCCTGACTAGACGCACACTAGTGTGATGGTTAAGGTAGGCACTGGAATGTTCCATCTGCATCTACATGAACTGCTGGAAGGGTGGGGTTGTGGAGAGTACAGAAGGCATGGGTTTTGCTCATATGCAACAATAAGCAGCGACTTGGTGATCCTATTTTGTGTTTCAAAACTCGTTGAGGGAACTGTCCACGGCTTCATACCTTTGATGACACGCAGCGCTTCAGCCCCAGTCTTGTGGCGTGGTGGAGCCATTGAAAGGTGGTTTCCATGACATAGACTGGGCTTCCGCCTTTTTTTAATGTCAACAAGATAGGAGGCAGAGGAGCTACGTCTAACGAGAAATATGGTAATGAAGGAGTAATGAAGCTTCTTCCAGTCCAATAGGGAGAAAAGAACGCTTGTCCCTGTTCCTCTTGTCAAATCAGGCGAAAGGGAGGAGGAGATCTAACTCCAGTAGAGGTTTGAAGGTATTTTCTTGAGTTAGCCTATCATCGTCGCAACCTACTATCCTCTCATAAGGACGCAAGCCTGTTTCTAGAAGCAAACAGGTACTTCCATTTCCACCTCATTCCCTATTTCCCAGACGTCCACTTCTCGTGGAGTTCGATGACTGTCTAATGCTGATGTCAAGGCAAGGTGGTACTCATTACTGGGAGAAATAGGCGAGGAGTGACGGAGGATAAGGCAGTGTGCCTTCCTGTCATCCCATTCCAAAGTGCAAATTTTTCCCGGATAATTTTTGAGGGGAAATTCCTTTACTACCACCATTGTATCCACCATAATGTGGGGCTCCAAAGAGCAGAAAAAGCAGCCCAGAGCACAGTAAAGGGTACCATTCCAATGGAGTAAACCAATGCGTGAACCAGCTTCATATAAACAATCGAATTCTGCAGTTGCTCTATAAATTCTCGCAACGAGCTGTGCCAAGAGTCCCACATTTGTTTCATCTAACTGAGGGATTAAATCGGTAGGAGTCATGAATTGACTTCCGCAAACAGTATCCGTGAATATCGAGGTGTCTTGAGGACCAGTAACCAGGATGTGAAGGTGCGGAGCATGGATTTTAGAGAGAGAGAAGTTGGTTCGATGATGCTGCAAAAGAACAAATGAACAAACCCACTGTCTTGTCATAAAAGAAAAAAAGTGGAAATCGGAGGGGAAGGGGTTCAAGGGACCTTCGCCAGATCCCGGTGTTATTCAGCCGAAATGAAGACCATTAGCTCAATGAAAAGTCACCATCAAACCCTGGCAGCCGGATTTCAAAATGTAAGGTCATGCAGGTCAAACCGGGACCCCGTAAAATGTCATGTCCATGCGTCGGTATCACACACAGTAGAAATTGCCAAATTCTTACACTACCCGCATTTGCTGGCACACATGCCAGGTATGATCCGGTACAATTCACACACACCACTCATCGAGTCGACGTTTGAAAGACGGCTCCGCGACTGTGTCAACCGCAAAGGTTCCCGACTCACACACACCCACGGTAGTTAAATCTTGTGGATATTTGGCCAGCGCGTGAAACTCCTGTCTCACCATAAACACCTGACGGCGAGACTGCACAGGAGGAGGATCATTCTCTGTGGAAGTGATGAATACACTGCAATCATTTTTGACCATCTGCAATCTCCAGGCTTGTTGTCAGGACAGTCTTTCGCTATACTGAGTTAAGAAAGCGTTTGCAGAGGTAAGGCCAGGACTTGCCGAGTCGCATCAATATGACAGAGGATAATTTTCAAAGATTTTTTTTTCAGAGTCACCATCAACAACTCCAGCAAAGATGGGAAGAGGCAATGGATCAGTAAAATACGAGAATGAGCATGACCTCTTCGAAGCCATTAACCATGGAGAGAAAGGTTATCTTGGAAAAGTTTCATATGGGGTGCCGTGATTAAAACAAAAAACAGTAACTTTATCGACTTGTTTGAAAAAGAAAATGCTTTTTAAACGTAAGATAAAACGCGAAATTTTCGAAGACAAGACCCACCATCAAGGCGGAACATGGAGAGAATACGTGCCCACGGGTGGTCGATAGGCCTTTGGAAAGGAGAGGACCTGAAAACGCGTAAAGGAATACTTTCTTGTGTTGACGTTCTTCTCCGCATTGCTCAACCGAAGACCCGTGCTGCGAAGACATTTTAGGGCTGGAGAGAAGCTGTCCTTGTGCATACCTTCCACCTCCTTGAAAGAAGATGAAAACGCAGTTGTACACATTCTATTGGCTGCCACCACGATGTGGACCAATGAAGGAGATGCGGCCGCCGCAGAAGGGAAGTTATTTTAACCAATGGGAGAGACGCCAAACGAGGCGTAAGCCAATCAAAAAGATGAGGGAATAATTACCGATTTTTCAATCTGTTTTAGCCCTACCAATGAGAGAAATGACAATCCTATAGTAGATTTCCATCAAAGAAAAAAGTTTGTGATCAACGTGAGTCCTACGAGTAATTAGTCTCTAGAATTGTATTTCAAACCACGTACTTCTGGACGGGAAGCTATTCCACTACCACCTACAACACTTTAAGTTTTTGCATAAGGAGCTAAACGGGAAGCCTCCATAGCAGGTGGCAAGGTGTATACAACACTTGCTAGATCAATTACTTTCCAAAAAAAACCACTTTGACGATGCACCACATTGGAGTCCCCCTTTTACGCCACATCCCTGACTATGCTTTAAACCAACGTTGTACGATTCCATCCTGGCCCTTAATCACTCCCCACTGCAACACTGGACTCAATTTACAAGTTGGAATTGGTTTTGTTGTCATAAAATAATGCCGTTTTTATAGTCCTTCAGTTGTGGGTCTTCGCATATTTCTTCTTTAGGCAGGGGGTTAGAGATGTCGAGGCATATCCGGGTAGCTTTATTGTCAACGCTTAGAGGGGTTGGTAGGTTGGAAGTAGTTCGTCATGCCAACAGTATGGAATCCGAATCGTAGAAAACTGAAGGAGTCCACATAAACAAAACAAAATAACCTGTTTCAAAAGAAAAGTAATCAAACAGAATGGTTGTCTTAAATGCTAGGAGAAAGTGGATGGGGAGAAGAATGGGTGGATAGATAGATGCACAGATGCGTGGATGCAAAGACGGAATGATGGACGAATAGGCTAGATATAGAGCAATGGATGGATACATGGATGAGCGAGAAAGTGGATGGGTGGAACAATGGACCTAAAATGGATGGATGAATAAATGAATGGAAGGGTAGTCGAATCAAGGCTGGATGAAAGGACAACTCAGACAATGATGCATGCATAATGGATAGGTGAGGGGATCGAGGATGGAAGGACGATTAGGTATCCAGGTGGATGGATAGGAGGTGGGATCAAGAATAGACAGGTGGACAGATGGGTCAGAGTCGGAGGGATAAAAAGGGGGGATGATTAATGTGGACGAACAAATGAACCAGATGAAGCTGGGTCGTCCTGAAATGGAGAGATAGATTCCAAATGTGTGACTAGATCAGGGGTTAACAGAGAGATAGGTACCTCTGTGAATAGACAAACGGAGCAGGATCGAAAGTGAAACAAGGGATGTATTGGAGGATTGGTGAGTGGCCTTGGCATACAAAATGGGTGATATGACGAAACTTGTGCAAAAAGCAAGACCTGCTCGTGGACAGGACCCAACTACCTACAACTCTCCCAACAGAAGACTAGAATAATATTAAATCGATCTATGATCTTTGCAGAATGAATAATCGGGGTGATGGAAGACTAGGCAATTAAACGGGGACGTTCAATGACGCTAAAGATGGATGGGTGTGAAGAGTAATGAAAGAATGAGCGGAAAACGCAAGAATGGATGGATTAGAGATAGTTGACTAAACTGCCAGTAGAATAAACGATCCGTGAATGGATGGGCAGGCGGATAAATTGACGCTGGATGAACATAATCTAAACGCACCATAAGCCATCTGGTCTGCTCCAGCGATACTGCCATCCCTGTTCGATCCTTCGCCGATTTGCACGAGGTAAATCGAAGCGCGTTGAGTGCTGAGGAGACCTCCGTTGCTAAGCGAAGCACTTCCACTGACTTCGACTTATTTGCCTCCAGTGCATACTGCAGACTGCTTAGGACATCGCAGACGTCCTGCTGAGTAGGCGTCTTCTCTACAAGCAAGAAAAAACAGGCGAGATACTCAATGCTGCTTCAACCATAGCTTATCTTAACACTTCAATTATTAAGGTCTCAGGGAAAAATCGACCACCGGACTGACTTCTCAAAAATTATAAAAAGAGTGTACCAATCCATAGACCAAGGGAATCCAATATCTACTCTATTGTTTTAAATTAAACCAATCCGTGTGTGACACGACCTAACATGATTAGTTACTAAGGTGATGAGGAGCACGTTGCATATTTGTGACGCTGGGCTCAGGCATGACAATCATGGTAAGAAAAGAACGCATTAATGTTTTGGGAGCATGCAAAAGACAGGCGGCGGGTAATAACCTTATGGAACAAGTGAGAACGCTGTTTTTCGAAGTCCAACTCCCGGGGATGCATACTTAAGTCAAACGTACTAGGGGCACCGAATTTTCGAGTATATTTGTCGAAGTACACTCGAAGGCTAGTCAGTCCATTGGTATTGATAATTGACTGAAGATTGACGCGTTCAAGTCTGCAAAAATTGGATGAAATATAGCGACATACTACTAATAATCTTGAGGTAGTAGCACCATATGTGGACGAACAAATAAATACATTTTACTAATTGAATAAGTAGTTGTTCATTTTTACATGAAACCTACCGTTCGGCTAGAGACTGTTGTTCATTGATACCCACGTTGAAGTAGAAGGGATGCAAAGAGAGAACAATTCGACCTCGAGCTTGGCATTCAGGAGGGGTTTGACTCCATGTTAAACGTGGAATCGTTAGCTAAAACGAATAGCGAATACACACATCTACTTGGCTACTTCAGAGCCACGTAGTAAGCAGTGCTCCTACTGCATTGACAGGCTTGGCTTAGAGGTGAATGCAGGAGATAAACTCGGCGATGATGGGGCGTTGCATAATGACTACCCAAGAGCATCTGCAGTTTGAAACTACTGCATTAAAAGGTGGATATTTTGAGCTATTACAGGGCAGGTGAAGATAAATAAAAGGAGGTTGGGGATAGTCAAAAAACTCGAATTAAGCCTACCAAAATTTCATTGTGTCGAAGAATCTGGACCTGTATCAAACCTTGGCCACTTCCACTTCTTCCTTTTGGCACCCTGTCCTCCCCCTCATCCTCCTCCTCCTCCTCCACCTCCTCTTCCCTCACCTTTAAAACCGAGGGATTTGGTCGCACCACAACGCGACAAAATGCCAGGCTCTGAATCGCCCAGGCCCAGTTCTCCAACATTCCAACTTCTTCACCATAGCAACTCAAGAGACCCTCAAAATGCAATGGCACTCCACATCGGACCATCTGTTTCCACTCTACCGGCGTCCAGTTTGTCACTGCCAAAGCCAGCCCTGTCAAACTCGCCGTCAGCGCCTAAAGAACAGCACCAATTGGGGGAAGAGAAAAAGGGCGCTTTTGATCTGTGGCATCTGCGGGTTTTGTTATCAGTACAATAAGCCTCACATCACAGGATCCTAATAACGCATTTTGCTTCAAGCATGGTTCGTACGGTGATGAGAGGTTAAGTAAATCAATAACATGGCATTCTTGAGTGAACGCTTCAAAGACGGCTCCACGTGTCCGTCAGTAACTATCCCAGCCTTGGCTACTCCCAGCCCACCCAAATGGTAGAAACAGACTGTCCCAGAAAAGTCATTTGTGATAGAATTGTCTTCGGGGTCTTCAAAAATCCAAAGAGCACCCGTTTGATTTGAACATCCCTCGTATACCCAGGAGTGACTTGGAATATGGAAAAAAAATTCAATTCATCCTTACCTGACACAGCACTGCATGATGTCGACAGTGGATGCTGTCCCAGACACTCGAAACAGTATGCAGGTTCATCCCCGCTGAAGCAGTCTCCGTGCTAGCCATAGCAGCAATGCTGGAGAGGACTTCACGCCAAAGGCACTCTTCCGCCCGTTCCCAAGTGCGTAATAATACTTTCTGAAGGTGACTAGACGCTGTGCTGATTTCACGGAGAGCAAGTTCTCTATCAACAGAGGTGGCTTCACTGGAATGGAAAAGAAGTAAGGAGTCGCATAGAGGGCAAACCTTTGATCAGCTTTTGCGTTTGTCAGGGTGTCCAGAGTTGCTAGTTCAACGATGCTTTTCAAAAGAGGTTCGTAGTTGGCTTGAAGATCGTGGAGAAAAATTGCATCGGTAGAGGTGCTCTTACAAATCTCAACAAGGGCGGACATCTACAAGATAGAATTCCGTAGGATAATAATCTAGTTTATCTATCACAATTCTACTATTCTCCTCTCATTTCAAATCCTCATGGTTCAAGGTTGCCTGTTTCTTCTACACTTTAGAGAAAGAAGGCTTCCATACCCCCTTTTCCAGCCTCTGTGCAAGAACTCCGGCTTGTCCAGAAGGTCGAAGTCTTGAATTCAACTCCGTGAGATCACCAGACATCCGGACCACGACGACTGCGCCTGTGGCCAGTCGGTGGAACGCTCTTCCAACAACGTGCTTATCACTCTGTAGTGCTGATGCAACTATTGGCGAGGTGTTCAAGAACTCTGCAAGGCATGTGTTGTGGGTTTCATCACTGGTTAGGGTTTGGAAGAGACCTTTAGTCTTGAATTTGTCCGAGGCACAGGTGAAGGCACCAACGGAGATGATGTCATGGAATGAGACTGTTTGGTGAGAAGAGACGGAAGGTTACGTTAGCTACTTATTCAAGTAAGACGTTACTTCAATTCATTTTCTCCCTCATATTTTCATTCACCCACCCCACTCACTGCCTCATTTGCTTGCTAACCCATCAGCTCATTAACTGATAACTTCCCGACCTTGCTAACATAGACAATCACACCATTCAGTTTTTCAATCCCCCTCACTCTACTTCACTCCACTCACTCACTCACTTAGTCTGCTCTCCAAGTCCAGAAGGCCAATTCGATTGGCATGAAGATTTGTGGGTACAAAGTCCAACTCCACGCACTTCCTTTCCGTACTCCGTTTGAAACTTGGACCTGCGGAGAGAGTCGAATAGAAAATAATAAAAACAGGAGAACAGAATAGGGCTTTCAATGGTGTGAATGAAATACAACTAACTAACCGGTGTGATCGGCAGTACTTCGAAGACAGAGTTCGTAAAATTCGATAACATTCTTCATACCCAATAGACGCTCCTTTCGAAGGCATTCCAGTGTTGGATTGGACTGAATAGACATGAAAGGGTTAGCCTCTAGTGATCAAAAAATAGGAAACTTATGAATGAATTCTAGGGAGAATCAAGGAGTCGTCAGAATTTGTCATCATTTAAGATTATACTCTGAAAATTCTTGGAGGTGCCGCCGACCCCTTCAGCCCCTCAATTTTCAAGGGTAAAGTCGATGACGGCACTGCGATACACCCGAGATGATGCGTGACTGGCAGAAGGCTTATGCTTAAACCAAAAAGAGATCACTTCATCTGCCCTGCTAATGCCAACCTAGACTAAGTTTGCAAGCCAAAGTCATCGAACACGAACCATCTTATTGCCACTTCAAGAGTTCACGCCAAACCTTGTCGCATTCAATGCATTCCCATCATTCACTTCAACCTTGACCTCGACCCAGGCCCGCCTGCCAAGTGACGCGGAACTCTGTACTTCAAGCTAGCTAAACAAGAGGCCAGAGGTCTGCATTTCGAAGAAACCCATTCAACACGAGTGTTTACACTGGAAAGGACAAAGGCTGAGAGGGTGGTATAAGCATTCTTCATGTCAATCGATGAGCAAGTTTTTCCGAAGACAAATATTAAATGTCAGGGAATGCAAATAGCATCTGCCTTTGCATAGAGCTCCACCTTCGAGATGGAAAGCCTTGTCAGTACAAAACGTAGACAACTGTCTTTGCACCAAGTGTGTGTGTGGGTGATTGTGGCGTATTCATCACGCCCAAGGTCAGGTGTTTATGCTAAGAAGGGAGTTTCACGCGTTGGCCAAATGTTCACAAAAATGACTAGCGTGTGTGTATGTGTGTGTGTGTGTTAGACAATCACTGGCAAACAAGTGGAGCCGTCTTTTAAAAGTTAACTCAACTGTGGCTTAACCTGCCACTTGATCTACATTTTATGCTCAAAGCTGTTCTTGTGTTGAGAATGTAGGCCTTGGTTGTGGTGCACCAGAAACTCCATGCTGTTGGACGTAGGCACACACTCATCGCCAGCAGAGTTAGGTGACATGTCACCTTGGTGGGCGGTGTGTAGATTCGGCTGGACTGGAGAAGGCGTGACAAGTGTGTCGGTGACGGTGAGCAGTGAAAAATGACACTTGGCACTTACCAAGGCTATGTTAACATTGTCAATCAGAACTCATCTCCTACTGAGGCCTTTATTAGTTTGTCATGTGACTTTCTGTCACACAGCAATAATAGGAAATGATGCTAGATTGATGAATAACAGTGTGCTGGCGGCACAAGCTCTCCTAATGAGTGGCACATAGTTCCTTCTCACGGAGTGATAACCAGCCACGAAAAACAAGTAATGAGGGGAGAGCTCTGGAATTGCTTGCCTGCCTTACTACCTGAATTTAGAAATCCTTCTTCAATTCCCATCAAATAAACTCACCATACCAACACGTAGCAGAGAATCGTAGAGTAGATGTTCCTGAGTGATTAGCGATTTGCTAAAGAAGAGACAGAAAGGCGTGACCGTTGGATTGGGCAAGTCAAGCGAAAGGATAGCAGAAGGAACTCACAGGTATTCAATGGGGAACTGGAAGCAGAATCGTGATTCACCCATGAATTCCACAACACGCATGTTTTCGCCAAGAGTGTGGGGGAAGACGTAGTTGCGGGTGAGAATGTTCTCGCAGACGCTTCGGAGTTGTTGACTGTGAGTATCGAGCTAAAAAGGGCAAGAGAAAGATGGTGACGGGAGATTTGCGCCTAGTTTGGGTTAATCCAATCACTTCATCCCTCCATCCACCCGTTTTATGGCCTTGTCAATTTAAACCGCCAGTTAGCCGCACCCAGTCACTCATCTCTTCATCCAGCCAATCTCCCATTTAATGAACCATTCATTCATCTAGCAAGCCGCAAATCCATCTATCTACTTGTTAATTCTTTGCTTCATCTACCCAGCCTTTCATCCACCCCGGAAGCGCTCGTGCAAGTTGGATACATTTGTCTATTTATTCATGTGTCTATCCATTACCTCACCCTTCTACTCATCCATCCATTCAACCAACAACCCACTCATCCACCACTCGAACTACTTATCGAGATAACTATTCACTCACTAATGCAACCAACCCACCGTCAATCCAGCTACGCACCCACCAACCCATTCATTCGTCCATTTGACCATCCATATTTCCATCTAACCTTCCATTCATGCATACATTTATTCATCCACACATCCATCCATTCTACAATACACTCTCTAAACCACTTGTTCTTGCATTCTATCAGCAACCTACATGATCGAAATCCAGAGCGTTGCTGCACTTATTCAAAACCTGAATAACTAATAAGTATTCCGGAATCGAGGTTCTGTTCAGACTCTTCGATTCAATAATCAGAGGCAAGTTCAGCGTAGAAGCATTACACAAAGCTTCAGCTGTCGTCTGTGCACTGGCAATCACACGATGCTGTGTGAGAGGAAGGAAAAATGGGAGATTTCCACAACTCATTCCATGTGAAATTTCTCAAATCTTTGACTTGAATAACCAAATGAAGAAAATTGCTATCTTCATAGCTGTAAGCTTCACATACCACAGAAGATCGTAAATCCTTGAACTCCAAAAGGCTGAACTTTATCAATGAGGTTTTGGAGAACTTCTCTGAACTGAGTTTCACTGTCTTCAAGAAGGTTGGACAATCCTTGGTCTACCAAGGTGATCACCTTTCAACGCGATTACCTTACCCGAATTTCCGTCTCTGCAATTACATTCCAGGGACTATCGGCATCCGATTGTTTCGTGGAGACAATGATTTTAAAACCGAGCTCCGGAATCCGTGAAAAAGAGGTATTTTCATCAAGCAAACCTGAGAAGGTGAAATGGAGCATGTTGGGCATTCGGTCTACTGTGAAGCAAACAAGTAACATCCACGACCCACATTTTCTGAAATGTCAGCGTAATTTTCCCCATTAAAAAAATCTTTTTAAAGCACTCCCAATGAGCTGAACACCTGGCACTTTGGTCGGTTTTTTGAGGGAGAAGTCCTATTCTTGCAGGTAAACCACCTGCACATGAGTGAACCAGCTACGTGTCCCGTGAACCGAGAGGGGATCAGAAAAATCACAGGCTAAACAAGGAAAAAGATTCCAAAAATTTCTGCAGAGGAATAAAACCCATTTTAATTATGCATGTTATATCACCAGCTGCATGAGCGTTTGCAAGTTGTCTCTCCCCTCCCCCTCTCCTTCACCCACTTTGGTGACATAAAGGACTGCCACTAGTTTTGCAGCCTTAAGACCAATGCAACACTGGTGGCAGCACCATGATATGTATCTATCCTTGACGAAAGGTATGACTACTTCCGGTAATGTTTCAAAGAATGCGTCAGATGTGGAGTAATGAATATGCGTGAGTTCGCTGCGGGAGCGCTACAAAAATGCCCCAACTGACAAGAAGCTCAATCTGGAGGTCTGCACCATTATCGATAATAGAAGACCGAAATAAAATGAGATAAGATGGTGCCCTAAAAATAGACGATCTGAGAGAGCCAGTATGGAAATAATGAAGGGTAGAGGTCTACCACTTCCAAAGGTAAAGGGGAGTTCTCGAAATGAGAACGACCTTACTCATGTTACATGTAATGATCAATGATCCTGCTTCCAAAAAGGCCGAAAGCAGCTAGTGATAAGAAGTGGACACATCAGTTTACCTCAAGCTACACTACCAAGCAAAGAAGCCACCTGAGACTGATACCTAACTTTTAACATGCAAAAAACTCACTCAGTTGTAATTCCAAACCGGCCTCACTGAATTCATCCGGACCTAAAAGAAGATGGGCACCGCAGTCATCTTAATTGCCAACACTCAAGTGGTTAGCTAAATCAAGGTAAGTGCTCTCATTACAGGAAGAATCGGGTGAGGCCAAAACCGAATTAAGTGGATCCAAAGGATCCTTTCCAGTCAACTGTCGCAATTCTTCACGAAGTTGCAATCTTCTAGCAGATAATTCGGACAACCCAGCCATCCTAATGTGATTACACCACATATTAGCCTCCTCAGCTGAGCGCGCAGCAAAAAGTAGGGGGGAATCACCACATTCAAACTCTGAAAATAGGAGAAAATAAGCTCAAAATACGAATCGATACCTATTTGAAAAGCGTGCTGAACGTCTGCATTGGTCATAAATTTGACAGAGCAGCGTTCCAAAAGAACTATGCCGACGAGATCCGTTGAATGAACACCCTCATTTTGAAGGATTACCAAAAGGTTCCCTTTTAAACGACACCAGTGTTCACAGAAGGCTAGTGATTCATAGAACACAATAACCGACTACTCACAATTGGATCGTCTAAAAAATGATTCGGATTTTTGTCTTAGGAGAAGAATTCCCTCAAATGTGGGGTTCCAGTGAGCAGATATATGACCGAGATCCTCGCCGTTAAACCTGGAATATCAGAAATAGGTAACTAATGGAAACTTTGAAAATACAAAGAGGAACAAGTGGTAAAAATGAAACACAAATGGCTAATTCGCCGCCAAACTCTATATTTTTTATATCTTACAACAATGTAGAGAGAGTCTTTAAATAAACTGTTGTTTTATTAGCTCTCGGCGGCAAACAATTACAAATCACAAACGGTCATGGCAAGAGAATTGAGCTATTTTTTGCAAACTGCGACCATCAAAAAAAAATCCTAAGTATTGCGAGTGAATAAACATTATAAAGGTTGGGAAACGGAAAAGTGCTTTAACAAACGCAGAACAAACTTCATCAACCCGTGAGTGGCGAAGACGGTAGCCGCATAGGGCCCAAGGTCACTATCTAAGATGAGCCACTAGTAAGTCAGGCCATAGAGTAAGCAACAGCCAATCAATGATTGAGACCTAATATATAAGCTTAAACAAATTAGTCTCATATTTTTAAAAGCTGCATCAAAGGATTTTTTGCTTTAGGTACATTGGCAAAAAAGTTACTGCTTTACTTGTGCTTGCAAGACACTAACTTTGAAGAAGTACCCGCTAACTTCTATGCTTAAGATATTGGCAAATAAAGCACTATTTAAAAATTTCAGAATTGGCCTTTAAAATTTACATATTGTATGGTTGCAATTAGCGATCTTTTTAAATTTGTTAACTTTAAATACTCACCTATTTTTTCGATTCGCTCCATCAAAACCTGATTCCTAACTTCTTTGTAAACCATTTGCAGTAGTTGTCCGGAAGCAAAAATATGTTGACTTATGGCCTGTTTTTCAATTCAGCTTCAAAGTATTATCACGCACAATCAAAATACTGATTTTCATTGCTGTGAGTATTGGCTGAAGCCGGGTAATAGGCTCAATGTTTTTTTGTTCTACTTAGTCCTTCCTGCCGTTGACACGGGCAGACGAGTTAGACAAGGACATGCTTTATTGAGTAGCAGTAAGTAAAGGGTGTCACTTATCACTATTAAGCGCGTTCTGGGTACGTTTTCTATTTTAGGAGGATAGTGTTCAATTCGTTATGAGTTTCGTATTCGCTGATCGCCTCTGGCCCGAAAGAGGCATCCAAACAAACATACTCTATGGCTGTAGAAAGTCATTTCCGTATGGTAGAAACTGTACTACTATGGTACAGAAGAGTTGAGGTTGCTGTTATGGCTTGGAGGCCATGCCTCCAAGCGGAAGCAAAATATGCGGAGACTCTGGTGCCTATGCAGGGTTTAACGAACCATCAGGGCATTCACAATACGTTAAGTGTTTATTTAACTCTCGACTTTGGTAATGGAGCCTCTTAGGTGCTCCGCTATTATGCCTTCGCCGGCCGAGTAGCTTACGGGCCATGCCAGTAGGCCCACTCCCTTCTGCATGTCAAATGTATGTATATTCTACGCAAGCACTATGCCTTCTTCTGTTTTGGAAAAATTTCAAAATGCCACACACTACGTCTTTTAAAAAAGAGCTGCATTAAAAGAATATCAGTTTCCAAATTTACATGCAAGTGAATTGTGATTATAATTAAATTGAAACATAAACTCTGTTTTGTTAGCTAATAAAACAATTTTGAAACTTAATAACGCGCCCATCCTGTAAACTCCATTGTTTTAAACTTTAGTGGGCCCGAAATCTTGATGACTTATCATTGTAACTCCAGGTGTAATGTTTAAATTTACAATAATTTGGTGCGCCCCTTCTAATGACAGAATGATACCATCCAAAATATAGATTTATTAAATATTAATAAGCGATAAAGTCTGCAGAATAACTTGCACAAAAGGCATTAAAACTTTGCTGAATTAGCAGGTTTGAATGATTGCTGATTTGACAAATGGCTTCGGACAAACCGTGTACAGGATAAGCAAATTAGCACTCACAACAATTCAAAAATAACAAGCAGCCTTAGTCTCCTCAAAATAATTAACTTGGGTCACTCATACCCCACCCATTAGTTTGTTCCATATCCCGTCCACTCATCCTTTCCCTACCAATCCATTTCAGATCCATCCTGCATCTATCTATCTCTCTATCCATCCTACATCCACCTCGCAGCCATCCATCCATTTATTTATACATACATCTATCCATTCATCCATGCATCCATCTCGCACCCACCCTTCCACGTATTCTGCATCCATCCATCCATCCATGCGATCAATCATTCATCCATGCATCTATCGCAAACCCTTCCTGCATTTATCCTCCCATCAATCCATCCTGCATTTATCCATACATTCATTCCGTTTCTCAGCTTCCATTCTTCTATGCCGTATTTATTTATTTATCTATCAACTCATTCACCCATCCATCCATTCATCTATTCATCCTTTCCTGCATCCAAGCATTCATTCTTTCTTGTGTTCATTTCTTATCTATCTCGTATCCATGCTTCCACCCATCCATCCAGGAACCATCCATCCACTCCGTATCCACTATCTATGTGGTATCCATCCATCACTTTGCCACCAATGTAGTGTCGGAGTTTACTACTGGAGGGACCACAATCAGGAATCCTTTTTCAACGCGATGCATGCCTTCTGCGAATTCTGCTCCTGTGGATACTGTTGTGGCTAGAGGGGGATAGCTGAACCCAGATCTATCTACCGTTGTTGCTGGGCTAGTTTACATGTGACTGTCTATTTCTGAGGCAAGAAAATCCCTTTTGTTTGGAGGAATGTCATCTAAGGAGTACGGAAATCTCAGCGGGGTGGGGCATTATCTCTCCCTCGTCTTTAAATACTTTACCAGGCGAGGTCTTCCGCCTTCTGTCAATGTTGGCATCCCAAGGCCATTTCTCATCACAAGACTATGGGTGAGTCAATGCAATCTAGACATTAGGGGACCCTCATAGGACGTGGGTGTAAGTGAACTATTTAATCACCACGTATTTCAGGGTGTCCTTGACGCGTTCCTGCATCAACAAGTAATTCTTCATTAAGAAGAATGGAGGGGCTTCCATTCTTCCTTCCTTATCCCCACCCTCTCCCCTTGACATGATTATTTGTCCTTGAGTGACTCATCTCGGGGATGAAATTTTTGAATTTGGGTGGTTTTTTTGGTGGTACCATCTTCCACTACTTTACGAGTACCTCCTTCACCATCTTCGGAACCATGGTGCCTATGTCTAGTGAAGCTGGTAGGCTTGCAACTCATCCGCCCATATTCAACTGGCAAGCCTCCAGCAACCTCCACCAAGTTATGATAACGACCTATACCGACAACTACCGGGGAAATTTTGATCATCCAAGGGCATGCCACGAGAAGTAGATCGTTGTCGATGTATTGACCAATGTCAGGGACTTTTGACTGCCATAGTTTTAAAGCAACCATCCGATCTACTTCTACCGAATGACGGAGACAATGATCCCTGCTGGATTATGTCAATTTTTCACAGCAGGTCCGGTACTCACTCACAACTCAGCCATTAGGCACTACTGCAAGGTTCTACGATGATGCAGTTTTGCGTGGAAGTGTTGAGGTTTGAGCCAACAGATGAAAGGCAGCGTTGCAAATCACAGCGCATTTGTGAGCCCTCGTGAATTCACCCACTCAAGTAAGAGGTGTCATTCCTCCGCATTTCGGCACCGATCTCCTTGCAAGCATTGACAGAAGCGATCATATCGATCACGAGGTGAAGTGGATGTCGGATCCATTCCATGTTGTACGGCGTAGGTGTCACGAAATGACGCTGTACAAGCAGTACACCCTCTTCAACTTACCAGCTTCAAATGGCAGTCATTGCATGTCTACTTAATTTTCTCCTTCTCAAAAAGGAAAGGAGTGAATTCTTTCCTTCTTTCTCCCTCCTCCCTTCTGCCTCGCTCAAACATTTTACTGAGACACAGAGAAATTAATCACCACCTCTCCCCTTCGTGTCATCTCAGTCACGCTAGCGAATCCATGTGAGTAGACTGGCAATCACGAGTACTCGCTGGAACAATCAGGCAAATTAATCAAATCGCATTCATTCATTCATTCATCCACCCACCTACCCACTTACCCAGCTAACCAACCAACCAACCGGCCAGTCAGTCTGCCTTCTGGCCTGCCTGCCTACACACACGCACAACAACAACATCAGCAGCAACGCTCGCTTCTGTTTGTGTGTGTGTGTGTGTGTGTGTGTGGAAGGCATTGACAGATGAACAGGTCGGAAGGAGAAGCAGCAAAAGACGAGGAGGAGGAGGTGGCAGTGATGGTGGTGGAGGAGTTGGAGGAGGAGGAGAAGGTGAAGGGGTCCGTGAAAATTGCTAACATGAGATGACAGCACAGTGGGTACCATCTTGCCAACCCCCACTTCGTCCACCTGCATGCCTAGAGCTAGAACAGAGAGGGATGAGGTGGTGTGGGGTAGAAGGTAGGAGTGGTTAATCCGATTTCTAGGATGGTATTTCTGCCTCCTCCTCCTCCTACTCTACCATCACCACCCCCTCCTCTGCCTCTACCCGTAGGACAGGCGGGTAGGGCGAGAGGGGAAAGGGGTTGAAAAGGCAAAAAACAATTTCCTTGGTTCTTCCTGTGGTGAAACAATTCCCTCTCACCTCTTACCGGGCCTTAAATAAGTGGCATAAAAAGTGGGGAAGCGTTTATTTTGGCACAATTCCACCTGGAAATGGGTGACAATAAACCAATTGTTGGTGAGCGGTGTGTCCTCAAGCCATTCTAAGCTCACAAGGTCCATATTTCGGGGATAGTTTGCAAAATAATATCGATGTATTCAAGGGAGTACCTGGTACCTGGCCTTCAAAATTTCTTCAATTTAACCCCCATCTTGGTTTACTGGACAATCAGTCATAACCTTGGCATTCCAGTTCTTTCAAGGGCCAATGGCAAACCTTCTGTACCATTGGCGCTTTTTCACCGCCTTAGGGACGACTAGGGATACTGCACGGGTGGATGGAGTGAGCTATCCCGCTCCAAAATTCATTGGCCGCTTACCAGATTCAAATACATTAAAAAAAGGGCATCTGCTTCGAAGCGTTGGAGTTAAGGAGACTTCCTTCAGAAGGGATCATTAATAGGGAGGAGGATCAAATTAGACGGTGTCTGGACAATGCTCCTCCTCTTCCTTATCCGCATAAAGACGGAATACTGCCACTGTGGTTCAACTGGCGGAGGTCGCCAAGGTAAAAAAATCTCGCTGTCGAGGTCGAATCAGCAGGAAGACGCCTTGTGGCCAAAACTGGCAAGTTTTCAGTATTTAATGATTGTAGTTTAATTAATCGACCATTGGCCCTCTTGGTGTCACCTTCCAGCCCTTCTGTAGGCTTATTCTAAAGCTCCTTCTGCCTCATTTGGTATTCAGGACTAACTCGAGTTGCTATGGTGTTGTTTGAGACAAATAAAAGGATATTATCTTCTCCACTTAATTATGTATTCAATGCGTGGATAGAATCCATCACTTTCTTGTAGGATGGGATGGGACGGGACTCAATCGGTCCTCCTTTATTAACAAAAGGTCAGATGGTAAACCTTTGGTTGGCACAGTTTTGAGTCACTTTTTGATAAAATACCTCAAACTTCGGTAAGCGGTGACACGAAAAATAGCAAAGGGCAAAGCAAATTTGGAAAAAATTTGTCCTGGGTGAGACACTACTTATTATGATTCAGCACCCTTGGGTGGGGAATCGAGTAACACAGAACAGTAGATCGAAGTAGGGAATTGCCTCAAGTCACCGATCCATGCTTCCGGTGCTGTCATGGACTTCCTAGGTGTGAAAGCTTAGCCAATTCATAAAAGGAAATGAAAAAATACTTATTGTGTAAGTCCTAAGCCGAAGGTGAGTCGAACGACCTTGAAACAGTTTTCGAACAGTTTCCGAGCTAGAAAATTAAAAGCTTGTGGGATTCTGAAGCTTGATATTTTGGGGTATAGCAAAAGGCTAACGAAATGTGGTGTTTTGGGGGAACGCTAATCCATATTGAAATCAGATTTAATCGCAGAGAACCTGTTGACCATCCCTCAGAAGCGTTGTCATTCCAAACCAGTGTTGGTATTCACCGCGCTTACCTGCATTCACCTCAGTTCCAAAAATTAGGGCTCAAAAATGCACTCATGGAAAGAATTACATCCACTTTATTGCTCTAAAGACAATCTGCTAACGGCGCGCAGTTTGCAGCGAACAATTGCAATTTTGGACAAAACTGCTTTTCCATCAATTAATTTTTTACAGCAATAACACAGATGGAAATTTGCAAAATAACAGTAGATATATATGAGCACGTACTAATGAAATACACCACCTTCATGATTTTGCAAGTGCCGTTTGGAAAAGATTTATTTTTAGTGTAAAATTTGAGAAATAAGTTACATACTTCGAAACCAAATGTGTGGCAAGAATCAGTAAACTTGCGGGTGTTCTTTACTACTCTTAATGAAGCAATGACCTGCCATAAAATGCAAAAGAATTTGTAATTGAGAAATGACCTACTTAGGGGCAATTTTTTATCGATAAATTGAAATGATACTAATTTTTCTGTTTCGAATATGATACGCTTTGCCGTTAGGTTTAAACAAGAAACTCTAACTTGTAGATAAGTTGGTTGTTTGTTTACAGCGGGATGCAGACAAACTTATCAGTGTAATTCTAAAACATTTAAAATGCCTTATTCAAAATCCCGCAGAAATGAGTGACGCTATTATATAATCGGTTTTTGTCATCGTGACCTTGAGCAGCAAGTGAGAAAAAAAACAATGTGACAATTGATTTAATCGAATAAAAAGTGGTTCTAATTTGGTTTCCATGGTTTTTCATGCTTGGACGTAACCGCAAATTTCTAAAACATTTATTGCTTATATTTTAGTTTACGAAAGTGATTGAGGAATTTTGTCAGGTCAAAGTGATCAATAAGGCCTATAAAGTTGCTTTTAAGTTGAAATTTCATCACATTGATTTCTTTTATACATTTAAAGCTTAATTAGCTACATGTTTATTGATGTCGGGTGCTAGTTCAAGATCCCGGCGTTTCACATTCCGATCCTTTTGGAGGAGAGATTTTGGTAGTATCCTCAGGCTCAACTATCCACAGTAGGTATCATTAGTCTTCCGACACCAGCACATCCACTTTGGACTGTGGGCCATCTTTGAAGCCCAAAGGCAAGCTGTCATATTCTTTCCAAGGCGTATAAGACCTCGGGGATATCCATCACCCTCAATTTAGCGCAGCTTGTGGGTCACTGCTGAAGAAATTATTAAAAATACAAGCAGGTGGTGACTAAATAATTAGGCAAGTAGAGTTTCTTAAAGTGCACTATACTTGTCAAAATAATCAAATTTACCAGAAGCTAGTTTCAAACTTTACTTTGCCATCAGAAGAGAAAAAGGCTAGCTCTAGCCACCTTCCTCTCCCTACCCCATTCTCATCTCCCAACTGTCACTTCTGCTTTGCATGTGACCTTCTGATTGTTCAATGCCCGAATAATGGTGACAATTAGTGCTCGAATAAGTATCCCGAGGGCACTACGGAGAGTGAGGATGAGATACTGTTACCCCTCTGTTCCCTTCTTTCCAAAATGGCAATCGGCTCCCGGGTCAGGGTCATTTTTGCAGCGTCTTGTCAAAATTAGGAAAGGATGTTCTCCCGCCTAACCGATTGGCCAGTCTTGGCCATTTCTCAAAAAGAAGAGGAGGAACGTTTCCCTCCCCACCCTAGAGTTGTATTTAGAGAATTGATTTTGACAGTAAAAAAGCCAATTCTTACACCAAGTCGGACACTCAGAAGATAGTCTAACGCATCAAGTTTGGAAACTCATTGTCTGTGACTTTATTTAGTCTCCACCTCAAATCCTATGGCAGAATATCCTCGCCTTCCTTGAAAATTCCATCACCAGTACCAGGTTGGTTAGTGTGTTGTTCTTTCGTCACCCCTTCTCAAGAAGATTCACTCGCCTTACACTTGGGTTTAACCTCGGAGCGGAAAAATTTCAATCCTATCGGATCCACTCAAAAGACGTTCAATGATACAGGCCTATGAGGTAGGAAGAGAGTAGTGCGAAGCACAATGAAAAATACTGACAGGCTGGCACGTGCCCAAAATTTGCAACTAGTCATTATAGGGAAACGTACTCAAAATAACAAAAACCAAAAGCAAAATTTTATCGGTTTTTCAGGACCTAAGCCATTTATTCCCCCCCCCCCTTCTTCCGCTGGAAACCACCCAACTCCTCCTGCCTGCTTTTGGTTGTCCTACTTGTAGTGGATCCGAAGAAGAGATTTCGTATTGAATAAAATGCCGGCAGATTTGGAAGGTATTTTCCATCCGACGAAAACGATTAGCACTCTTGTGCGATGGTCAGTGCGCTTTGTTGAAGCATTCGTGCAATTCCAGGAGGTTAATTTACAGTTCAGAGGTCTGGAGGCACTCCACCTCAATTTTCCACTGTAATGGTAGATTGGCTCGGCCACCCATTAAAGGAGAATTTTTCCTGGAAAACCTCGTATACGTTCATTGCAGAATAAAAGTATTTGTTCCAACCACAGGATCAATGTAGTTAGTTACTTTAAAAGGCGTTTGAAAGCTTCGTCTATCGCGCACGGTTGGCAGTTTTGACAGGTTCGAGGGTGATTCATTTGAAACAGGAGAAAAAGAAATAAATTCACACCCGGACGGCTTTGAAACCAATTTAGCCAAATAAATTTAAGTTTGTTTTGAGCCACATGAGTAAGCTGGGATGCAAGTTTATCTCTTTTGCAGTACAAAAAATAATGAAATCCTTTTTTTCTTTTTTTCAAAAAAATGCTAATTTTATTAGCATTTTCAGTAATTCTTTAAATAAACAAGCTCAAGTAAACATACTTTGGGCTGACTTTTGGTAAAAATATTTCAAACACTCAATAAGGAAAAAAAGACATTTTTTTAACTCTATAATGTTTGTGATACGATGCTTCATTTTCTTAAGGAGTCGCAAAGAATTTTGCGTTTGATTAAACCAAGAAATAAATAATAGAAACTAACTTAATTTAAAGAGATTTAAGGTCTTCTTGAGTCCATCCTCGCCGTTAATACGTTGTTTATGCTGAAAGTTGTCAAAGAGTGTTATCAGACCCCAAAGCACTTTGTCTTTTCTTACCTACAAATCAAACAATGCGCATAACATTTGTAACCTACTTAATTAAAACCATTTAAGTAGCATATAGGCCCACCATCAAACTAAGTTCAATTTTTAGTGATCTTCATTGACCCTTTTTAAACAATCAGTGTAGGGGAGACGAAATATCTGTGACAAATTTTCCCTTAACATTACTATCACCTCCAAAGACAACAGCAACAACAACAATCGATGTCTGCGACCCCCTCCTCGTCACCCACGCCATTGGTCCGCTTCCACGCCTGTCTGTCTACTAAAACACGCGCCTCCGCTCCCCATCTGACCAATCGGTGAGAGCACGTACGCACTTGTGCGCCAGCGCGTATATCATAGGGGGTAATCTATCATTCGAGCCAGACATATTTTGAAGGGGAGAAAGGGAGGGGGACACGGAAAACGGAAAAAGGGAGAGGGTGAGAGATCGGGAAGGCGGGAGAGAGAGAGAGAGAGTGGGCTAGAGAGAAAAGTAGCAAGGAAGAACCAACAGGAACGCGAGGTTACGTATACGCATAGACTAGCACGTACATACACACACGCACACACAAACAGCAATAGCGAGGGATACTATCCACGACCTACGCTCCTTTCTCATTACTGCTGCCTCGTCAAGGGCAAAAGAATCCATCTCCTTACCTGCCTTCTTGACAGCTGTCTACATCGACAGGACGATGACACTGCTATCACCACCATCACCACCGCTGCAACTCGTCAATCTGTCTACCTGCCAACGTCAGTGACAGAGACCATGAAGACATCTGTTGCGTGTGTAGTGCGGACACACGTGTTCTGATTCTCCACCTTCTTCGATTGATCGTCTGGATCCTTATTTTCATGGCTTCAGTACAGGTTAGTGCAATCCTCTCCATCTATCTATCTCCCCGTGCAGAAGGGTTGTTAATCACACGCCTGGCATAGGAAGCTATCTAACTTCGCTCCCGCTCCTGGAGATGTAGAATTGACTGCTGCATTGCGTGCAATGTCTAATTTGGAGTCAGAAGGGGGACGGGTGGAGTGGGGAGGAATTTAAGAAGCAACAGATTTCTTCGGCACATAAAACGCGTTTGAATCACCCGGAGGCGCGTGCTCCCTTGTGAGCACGCGTTGGGACGAAAAAACAAGAAGATTTGAGCAGGAGGTGAGGAGGCATTTCTAAAATTGGACACGACTACAAGCAGCTTTCAATCTGGCCCTGCTGCCAGATCGCCTTTCACCTATGAGATGGCAAATTTATGGGAAAAATTATTTGAGTCGATTGTCGGCCCTTAATCGCGTGATTGTTAATCCAAACCCCCTTCTGGGGGTGGTGAAAGCCCTCCTTGTGGATTGAGGCATTTTTTGGGCAAAACAATGCCTATTTTTTTGATTTAGAAAAAAACGCGGGAGTAATTTTAGGGGCAAATTTAAATTGACACCGACATTACGGTTGCCATTTTTTTCGGTTCCGGTAATAAATATTTACAATTTTTAGCTTGGAAAAAGGCAGTCCTTTTGGACGTCACTTGCAAAACATGAGAAGTCTTCTTAGCAAAGCAAAAGATACTCACTTTTATTTTACTCACTACGTCTTGATCAAATCTTTTCCTCGTGATTGCAACAATTATGGAAACAAATGTATTATTTGCGGCATCTCGAAATCTATCCAGATTTAGGGGATACCCTTGGAACCTTCGCTACCAACCTCCGTCTAGGTGACAAATTGTATCAGTTGTTATTACTTATTATAACTAATTCAACAGTTTGAAGCTTTTCCTTCCATCACCGTTGGATGAAAGCATTTGTCACATATATGTGACACACGAGGCTAGATTTTCAGGGACGTTAGATTATTAAAAATTAATTAAGTTAAGAAAATCTCCTGCGTTACTTTTTACCACAAAATTATTTTTAGCAATTTAAATAAATAAATTTTTAGCTTACGAATAAAAAACAACACTTTTTACCAGGGATTTTTTTGCCTTTTATATCCAGAACAATCTAAATATTTTATAAAAAATAAAAGTAAATTTTAAACTGGCGTAGATTGAAAGCTGTCAAAACAGCTAATTGATCATAATTGATTACCGATAATTAGTAATCGAACGCGTGGGCACCACTAACACCCCCAGAAATTAAATCGATTTTAAACGGTGGGCTTTAAACAATTTTTCTAAATACTTAATTATTTTTTTTGGCCTTGCTTCTCTCTCTCGTTCTCTCTCACTCTTCCCGCCTCGACAACACCTTCCCCTTCCCCCCTCCCTTCGCCCCTGTGCCTCACCGCCCTCCCCACTTCCCCCTTTGCCTCTACTTTCGTGAGTGTCAGTGAACCGAAATTCGCAGCAGCAGCAGCACCAGCACTAGCAGTAAAATGACATTTTTTCAGACGGAAAAAAGCCAGGTTATTTTGAATTTATTTTGTACCGAGCCCGCTTACCAGCCAAATTGCCTCCTTTCCCCTTTTCCACCTTTACCCAGCTAAGGTGATTGTTCCGGTCAACCCTCAACCGAGGATTGACAAAGCCTCTTTCAGTGGGATGCGGCTGTATTTGAGCTTACCTTATTTGTAGTTTGGGTGAGGTTTAGAGATGAAGGGGGGGAGAATTGGAATTCTTTTTGAAGAAGAACCAAACACATTTTTTGTCTGATCCTACAAGAGAACTGAGAAAAGCAAAGAGCTGCTTTTTACCTACTTGAGGAAAGATAATTACTTCTTGTGTCTAATTTGTCCCTTAATCAGCTATTCAGTTCACCCTGTTCAAGCGTGGTGGCCACTCATTGCCCTCAGACAGAGGCTTCCAGTTCTTCCACAGCAACCGGAACCGCGTCAACAGCGAGTCCATTACAGACTTTTGAAAATACCAATGGAGATACACCGCCAACACCTTCAAAAACACCTACTTTTGCTTCCGCTGAGTTGGATGAGACTCCAGCACAACTGCCACCACCACCTCCACCACAACTTCCACCGCCGGCCTCAGTATCCACGACTGAGATCTCGATTCCATCGAGTCTGTCCAACCACAGTAACCACAGCAACAATAGTGGACAGTCCCCACTGAAACTGAATATTCCTCATCAGTCTTACGTTAGTGAAGTGCACGCCTTCCAAAAGGTGCCAATGCCTGAGGAACAGTTCGGCAGTGACCTCAAAAAGGACACTGAAGCTTTGCACAAGTAAGTTCTGATCACTTGAGGAAAAAAATTATCATTTTTTGGAAGAGTTATTACCCTTTTATTTAGGGAAAAAGTTTTTCCCCAGTTTTTGAATGGAAGAGTGGATAATAAATTATCAGCACAGAGAGACCATTTACCTGGATTTTTCTACATGTCTAGTACCTGTCCCATGTCCCTCTCTTCTCCCCAAAAATCTACTTTCGTTGTTTCTCTCTCCCACCTCCTACTTCTAACTCCTAAAAATGGAGAAGACCTCTTATGGCTGTGTAGTTTGGGAGGGGGCGAGATTTACAAATTGTCAAGGTTTTATGGGGGAATGGGGGGTTAACAATGTTTACCTCCCCTTTTTGAGATCCGTAACGTCTAGTTAGCCACGACAGCTTATCACGTTAACACACTGTATGTTATTCTTCTTATTTTTTTAAACTCATCCCATTTTAGAGGTGACAACAATAGCACCCGGTAGTGGGTCTGAGAGCACATAAGAAGCAGCTGGCCTCTTAGCTGCGGGCCCTTCTTTCGTTTTAAGTAAAGGGAGGTAAATATTTTTCAGATCGTTGCATTAATAAGGCTAAATTTGTAGAATTTAAGATTTTCCCTGATTAATTTTTTCCTTATTTTTGATACAAATAATGGCTTCACTAAAGGCACCGCTTTTCCTTTTCAAAAGGTGTCAAGTTTTTATAACAAGTAGACTTTAACACGCTCGTAGCCAGGGCAGAAAAAACTGCCCTCTTTTTCAGTCACACTATTTAGTTTAACCCATTACCACAAACTGTTAAGGGATGCGCGTCATATATTTGTGACATATGTTGTGTCACATATTTTTGACGCGTGTACTTATGTAGGGAATTCCATGGGGTCAAGAAAATGTGTCGTGCTGACTGTGAGAGTGCATCTTGTACTCAACGGACTTACAACTGATGAAACACCATGTTGCCAATCAGTAAAAAGGCAAAGCCAGCGCACTTGTACGGACGACTTAAACAAAAGTAATTAATCAGGATAAAACTCATTAATACAATTATTTATCCCTTGAGGAAAAAAAGAAGGCGGATCTTTCCTCCAGTTTAAACAAAAAGGCATATGAGCTTGCTTTTTACCAGTTTTGATAATCAAATAATTTAGTTCCCCCTTCTCCTCCCCTTCCCCTACGTCCTGACAAAATTTCAAAAAATCCTTATCCTTTCTAGTCATCCCCTATTCCCCCTTCTGGCATTGATCTTCGAGAAATGTCAGCTGGCAACCTGCACTCCTCGTGACAGCACCCTTCGAAATGGTGGAATGGACATCTCTTCCTCGGAGTCCTTTCAAGAAGACATTGCTGTCTTTACAAAAGAGGTCTGTTGGTCTATCATTCTCCCCTTTTTCTCTGATCATCATTATCATCATTACCCCTGTTGTTAGCTGATGCAGTTTCAACAACACTATCTAGACTTGGGTACGTAGGTGGGTAGGTAAGCACGACCGAAAGCACAAACGAATGTAGGCACAGACGTCAGGTTTAATTAGACCTGATGGGCAAGCGATGGTGTGAATAGAGGTAGGAGGTGGGGGGGAGGGTTAGAGCCAGGGAGGGTGAGAGGAAAAGGAAAAAAAAAACTAAGGAGTGAGGTAGAATGGGATGAGGTGGGGTGGAGGGAAGGGGCGCAAGCTTCGATTCGTGCTATTTTTAGCTTTTAAATATATCTCTCTCTTCTGCTCTGATGCGTGTGAATTTTCTTCCATACTATTACTTGCCTGCTTGCTCGGCTCTCAGAAAAAGTCTCAGAAGAAGGAGCAGGAGATAAAGTATGAAAGCTCAATTTTTTACTTGGTCTGAAAAAAAGGGGTCTTGATTGGTTTAAGTAATTCTAGGTCTCGTAAAAAGGAGATTTTTTATACAAGTAAAGATATTTTGACTCAGTAATTTGTAAAATTTTTCCAATTTACGGCTACAGACACCTTCGTGATGTTTCACAAAGCAGTCGAAAATTCAGTTTGCCGTGAAAATTGACAGCTCCAGTGTCTGCCACATTTGGTATACCACAGGCTGAAAGGTTTAAATAGAAAGAAGTGAAAGTAAAAAGGGGTTAATTTGGAGGGCTTTTTACACTTCAAATTCCAAACTACTTCACTATTGTATCCAAAAATAATTGGATTTTTACAAATTTCGTTTTCATGTTAAAATCGCGCTCTTCTTACTTATAATTTGAGATGAGCCAGGGGTTTCGGTTACCAGCTTTTAACAAAAAAGAACCTTTTTATGCTAATGTTATAAAATTCCCATTTTTCTAAGTTTTTTAGTTTAAATTTATCCCAATAGGACCTTGCAAAATAACCAATGAGACACCTAATTTCCCCATATTTGGTTTGGTGTACAAATTGAACGCCACTATGGATAGACTTCACGATTTTAAAAAAAGTAATCTTACAATCCGCTAAAAAGGGATAGTAAAGTAAAAATGTGTGGGGATTAGTTAAATTCGACCTCTGCGTGATTCTCTTTCCCACTGGTCTGAGCGGCGCCTTTCAGTGGTGTTTTTCACCTTTATCGACACCACTGGTATCCTACAAAGTTCCTTTCCTTCCCATTTTTTCCGGTTCAAATGCCAGCCTACTTTTGCAATTTTTTGATTTAAATGCTGCCCTGTAAATTTAAAATTTCGTTAAAATTATTTGGTTTTGCATTAAATTCCTTGTTTTAGTATTTTTTTCCCTAACGGGGGGCAGTAAAACAGGAAGAAGTTGTTTATAAAAAGCGGATTTGTCTTTAAATCCGGGGCGGAAATGTTTGCACCCACCACGTGCTATCGCCATTTTAGGCGAATCAGTGGAAAACAATCCGATGAGATTTGCGTCTAGTGTTGTTTAGTTTGATGTGAAATTAAAGCTCTGACCACATTTTCAGTCATTCTTTAATAATTTATTTGGCTGGATATAATTTTTACCGTGAGAATAATTGGTTCGGTGCGAAATTTGACGCCTGACTACACTTATTCGTCACTGGAGGAATGGTATGACTGCAGGCCGAATGTCGATGTGCTGGAATGGTTCCCCTACGAGTTATTCCACCCTTTCAGAGTATTTCCAAAACTATGATAAAATTACTTTTGCACGTCATAAGGTGTCGCATTCTCCACTTGTAGCAACCTTTGCATCTTATGCTGTTAACATCGTGTCCAATTTTGGTGTGGAGTTAAAAACTGCACGATTTCTATAAAATTTTGATGACTTACATCTTTCCCCACAAAAGCCCTATTTTTGGCGCTGTGTGAAAGGGAATGCTACTTATATTGGTGCTTACTCCAATGAAGACGGCAGTTTTCAGCTTTTTTTTTTCTGAATCCACAAATTTTTCCCGTGAATTTCAGTAGCGATTTGATCTAGCGCAAATTTGACGCAGGTTTGTGTTACTGGCTACCAGAGAGGAGGCCCTCGCCGTCAACTGTCAAAGTCACCTCCGGGCAGACCACGTGACACTGCAAGTTGTAGAATAAATATGCAGTCAGCTTTTTTAATGTGGGCATTAGTGACAGCGGGTTGAAGGAGAAAGGAGCCCAGAAATCTCGGTGTGTGGTCTTCGGCCTCCACAACACCACACTTGATCGCATCATTGCACCAACTTTTATGCTTATTTTGAAAGCATTTGGGTAATTTCAAAAAACCATTTGTGTCTCCTCGCTGGCTTACTGGTTTTACTTTCCTAAAAAGCAAAACCAAAATTACGCCTCTTCAAGTGTGAATTAATTCGTATTCCGGCGTTGTTTCTGCAGCACTCGTGCTAGCACTAACCGCGGTGTGACGGAAGGAAGCTCTTCTAAACAAGGCGGGTTCGTTGAACCCACGTTCTTGTCAAACACAACCGTGTTTGGCTTTAGCGGTGATGGTAGTGATGGGAGGTGCGTGTTTTTTCTCTCGTTCTGGCCTGACAACTCCCACCCTCCTCTCTCTCTCTCTCGCTCTCTCTGCTCCATCCTACCCACCCTACACTCTCTCTCGCCATGTTTCCTGTGGTGTAGGCAGACAGAATACTGTATAATGGGGATAAATTTTGCATTTTTGTAGACTTTTTTGGTTTTGCATGACTGTGATATGCGATTTTGGGATGCCACAAGACATTGTTTTCAAGAGGGCATAAAATGACTGGGTCATTTTACAGTCGTATTTATAAGAAAAAAACAATTTTTTTAGGTCTTTATAGGAAAAAAGCGAAGAAGAAAGCGACTGGGGATGCATCTAAGGTAAGAGTAAAAAAGAATGCGGTAGTAGGGTTTCAATAAGCAGTAATAATACAAGGTCGATGGACGGCTGTGTGGTTCTGGCGGCATTCCTGGAGCCGCAATAGAATAGGGTTACATTCCCGAGGGTTTTAATCAACAGGTACAGAAGGTCTGAAAATGCAAAGGCACGGACTGCTGACCACGCAGTCAGAGCGATTATAGAGGCTGAAGGATCCACTCAAGAATCACGATGTACTTCGTTCCACTTCTGAATGTCTTACCCACTACTCCCCTTGGCCACAATTCATGTTCCACCGTGGAGCCTTTTCCTTTAAGACTGGTTTTATTTAAACACGATTGTCGTTGCTACTTAGATTCTTCTTTGGTTAAACCCTGAATATTCGGCCATCTAAAGCAAGTACCTTCCTTCTGATAGGTGTGAGTCTGGTAACCATCTGGAGGGGTCCATAAGCCACTCTGAAGACTTGATCGAGGAGACGCGTATAACAAGGATATAATTGGTGTGAATTCCAAAAAAAATGGTTGTCCGGATTGGGAAAGATAAAGATGCTAAAAAAAAGGAATGAGTAAACCTTAGAGGTAACGATTGACCTTGTGGTTCCAGGGATGGGGGAGGGGTAAGTTTGATTTGACAAATCAGCCAATCTGTAGCGGAATTCCGACAAAACGCAGGAGAGGAGAATAGTCATGTGTAGAAAGAGTTAGCTCAACCCCCTCCAAACTTTGGACTAACCTTATGCGTGCTCTTTAGCCCCGCTGACTCACTTTGTTTCATTGCTTGATTAAAAAAGGTGGGTACACTCATATCCTGAGCAGATATTACCTGGAGGGAGACAAAGGCGCGAACGGAGAGGGTCTAGTTCCCATCGATTGCAGTCAAGAGAGCTTCCTTTCACTACCTCTTCCATCCACCACCTCACCCCACTCCCTCCCACCAGCCAGCTCGAGACGAGCACTTCCATTAGATATGATGGTGCGTCTAGAGCAGCCTTTTGGCAGCAGCCATTAGGCAAAAACTCCTTCTGCTCCTCCTCCCCTCTCCCCTCCTCCTGCCTTGTCTTGCCTTCCCCATCATTAATGGAGGTGTGAAATGACGGTGGTGGTGGTGGTGGCGGTGAAGATGACGTGTGTTTCTGAGTCTGCTTTATCATCACCATCGTCATCATCATCAACAACAACAACATTACCTCATTTGCTTTTGTGGCTTTATCGTGAGCATCTTTTCGCACAGTTTTCTTCCTACTAACATCCCAAAATACTTAATATGTCTGTTCTCTTTCCTGACAGGATTTTGTGGAACTCGGAATTCAGAAAATGTCCTTTTCGTCGAGGGGGGGAGGCTTAAAAATCGGCCAGTAAATTGTGGTTGAGAGGCTTCTTAAAAATGAAAAACCTAACAATTCCCTGAAAATGCTTGTCTGAATTTGCATTCAGGAAGGCAGCACTTCCACAGTCATTCAGACGCTTGAAAAATGATGTCGTCCCCAAGGGATTCACATTCTCTCATCACCCCACAAGGTATCGCAACAAGTCAAGGCTATTCCTAGAAAAAAACAAAAACTAAGTCGTGATTTTCGATTAGCTATCTTGAAACACAATGACATCAAACTTTAAACTATCTTTCGATTCCTTTGGGAGCTATCAGGGGCCACGACGCCAGAAAATCGCCAAAGAATGTTTGACCAGGATGTCAGACTAAAACCGTATTTCCAAAATTAGCAGAGCTTATAGAATATTCCTTTCAAAAAATCTAAAAGGATCTCCTAGAAAAAGATTTTGTAAATTATAAAAAGGAGTCACCAGCGGGAACATCAGAGGTCATTTTTTTAAAGCGGTTCCTTTTTGGATCGTTGTCCTTTAACCCCTTCAGCCTTACCTTGTCTTCCGTAGTCCTGAATGGTTTTAGATGTCCACTTCCTTCCAGTCCGAGGAATGAGAGGTCATGTATGTGGTGATGTCTAGCAGTTCTGCAATTACCCATACAGGGCTTTCAATTTGATTGGTTATTGGGGAAAGGCAAAGGGACACAAAGGAGTCGAATGAGAAGGATGAAAATGTAACGTTGTCAGAGTGACCGCGGTGGATGGGATAGCTTCTGCTGTTTTTTTTTCAGAGAAGCGGTGGACCTGAGGTGGTGATGGTGGTGGTGGTGGTGGTGGGTGCATTAATTATCCATGCGGTCTTGAAGGGCTATCCACCCGCCACCCCCTCCACACCCCCTCGTGTCCCGTTTCCCCTTGTCTGTGGCTAGCAGAAGCAGCAGCAGCAGCAGCAGACGCAGCGACAACAACAACCACAACAACAACAGCGAGTCCCACTACCACCACCACCACCGCCACCACCATTTTTGCTAACGACCGCGCATACATACGGACAAAGGTGTCACTTTGAGTTAGGCTGCCTCATTAATTATGTGCTCCCCGCAAATTCTACACATTCTTCCCATTTCCCTCTCGCTCTCCGCCTCTCCCCTTCTCTCTCTCTCCCAGTCTCCCTCATTGTTACTATTGATCGTAAATTAGTGCCTCAGATGCTCCCCTTTCATGAGGTCGTATTCGCCCGGACAAAATCTTTCACGAAAATCACTTTGGAATTTTGCCCCTCAGATGGCAAATGTTCTTGGGCTAAGGTTGTCTCACACACGCAAATTTGTCTGTCTTTTTTCATTTTTCCGTACCCCTGGCTTACTAGTCAGCTAAATTTGCGGCAGGCGGCCTTATCAAAGCTGTGCAACCTTGTCTTGAGCTCAACACTCGGTGTTTTCTGCTGGTGGACATCCGAAACTTTGCCCGTGAGACTGAAGTGAAGTTGGTAGACCTCTGGAGGAATGAGTGGATTAGGAAATTGAGGGATTGATGAATCTAACATCTGTGGAATGATGAATAGATGGGTGGATGGATGGATATGGGATGGATCCGGCATAAATGGATACTAGATAAACAGATGGGTAGATACGGAATGGATGGGTGAATAAATGCGGAATGGATGAATGGATGGATGGATCGATGGATACAGGATGGATGGATGGATACAGGATGGATGGATGGATACAGGATGGATAGATGGATGCAGGATGGGTGTATAAATGAATAGATGGGTGGTCAAATGAATGAAAGAAAAAATGATTGAATCCAAAAAAAGCAAAGATATGCATTGGTGGATGGCCAAGTCGACGGATCTGCAACTGCGGCATGCATAAACTGGTGGAGGAGGAAATGCATTGCAAGACTGTCATCCACTCGATGAGTTATTTTCGCTCCTGACGAGTTTCCCCAGTGCACTAAACACTTGAACCCACCGATCACCACAATGACGAGTTTCAGGAAAATCCCCTTTAGAGTTTTAGCTGACTACCAGCATCCACTTTTAATTTTTCTCCCTTTTTCGTGAACCAGTTTCACAATTCCTTCTTCATCTGTTGCAACGGCAGAGCCATCCCTGAATTATTTACCCCACTCCCAGCCGGTGGATGCATGAGAGACAACATTTTCCCTCAACTCAACACACCTGTCACCTCAGTCACTTTCAGACAGATGTAGTCACATGACATAAAAGTACATTGGTTAGAAATTAATTTCAGAGTTTTCCATTTTTTATTACTTCAAATCCATTCTTACTACCCCTTGATCCACTTCATAAAATTGGACAAGCAAGTTAGAAGAAGACAAAGAAGTTTGATACATGCTGTAAGATTATTTTAAAAGGAGGGGACAGAAGAAGGGGACGGGGTGGGACTAATTTGATCTTCCTCCCCAAAGTAATGGGCAATTTAGAGAACTCGAAAGAGGGATCTTGCCAAGATTCTACCTTTTTTTAACCCTTCTGCCTTCTGAAATGTTTGGGTTTTGGCCACCACCCCAGGAAGGGAGGATGTGGGTACACGCCTGGGTGGGGCTCATTAGCCCCCACCACCCCAGCATGCAGGGGGTCACAGTGACCCCGCAGAGTTAAATAAATATCAGATACCTGACCTCTATGCAACCTTCCTTTCAGATGAGTAATGCCAATCGACCGCTCCTAACATTGAACCAGGAGTTAAATTTTCTCGTGAGTTGACATTGCTGCTACTTAAAAGAATTCAGCGTCCAGTTTCAAGTCACCTTCTTTATTTGTAGATGATTCAAGCAATACACGTACTGCGATTCCATCTTCTGGAGATTGAAAAGGTATCCACACACTTGTTTAGACATGTGTCTTTCTGGCAGTGTGGTGTGGTGTTAGTGTTGGTTGGGGTAGTGATTAATGCGACCATTGCGTGGGACAGGCCTGTTGACGCCCCTCTCGCCGCTCCCCACACCAAAAGTGGCGTGTGCGTGGGTGCGTGTGTGCATGGGATTTCCGGCGTACGCGTGTCGAGACGAGGGCACACGCAAGTTGTCTTTTTTGTTGTCCGATTTTGCGAGTGCTGTCGGTGAAGTTACTCCCGCCTTATATGCCTACCTTGTGAACAAAAAAAAATAAGTAAACAAACAGTTTTTTCATGGTTAATTAAAAGGGCTGTAAATGTACTGTAAGGGAAATTCAACGCGAGACCACCTTTCAGTGGAAAAATAAAGGTCTAATTGCACCTAAGTAGACAAAAAAGTTAACGCATTTCTCTTATCAAGGTTCACGAACTCTGCGACAACTTCTGCACTCGTTACATCGCCTGCCTCAAGAGCAAGATTCCCATCGATCTGGTGATTGAGGATCGCGAATCTGGAGGTTCCACAGGTTCAGCGGCTGGCAGTCCCCAACCACCCTCGTCCGCTTCCTTCGCTTCCGATTTGACTCCCTTCGAGAACGCCACCAATACTGCAACGGCGTCTGGAAAGTCCTCCACCCTTCGACAAAACGCGGACGAAGGCCAGACGGGCGAGGAGCAGGCCAGAGGATCGGGTAGCATGGTAGGCTAAAAATGTTGAAGAATGGGGTCGGGAAGGTGTGGAGCAGTTTCCAACTTTCTCATTCCACCGTGCTCTTGTCCTGAGTTCGCGTTAAATCTCCCGAATGTCCCGAATTTGTGGAATTCCCTAGCCCTTGGCAGTGGTAAGACCTCCAATAATTTGCCCGCATAATGACTCGTATGACAGGCAGGTTAATGGCAATTGCGAACCCCAGTAACTAGACCATTTCAGGCTTGTCAACCGTCACTGGTAATCGTAAACACGGGGGAATAATACGGACCGCTCCCTCCCTCCCCTTCCCCTCACCTCGCTGCTCCCGTTATCCCCTTGCGATTATGGTTTCACCTCATCGTGTATTTATTGCCCTTAACCTCCTTCCTTCAAATCCACCGCTTGGAGGTGTCACCGGGTGCATGGCATTCAGGCGGAAGTGAGGTGATATTGCAGGGCTGAATAAAGCAGTACTTCTTCAGAGAAGATTTTAAATATATTTTGTAATAAAAGAAAACCATAAGATTCGGTATTAGTGGATCAAAGTCCAGGTCAAAAAATGGGTTAATATTTACCGATCCCTAGGAGGTATCAAGCTAAAACCCACAGGCGCTTATGGTACTACTTAAATAAGGTGGGTACGTAACGTCCCAGAAACCGGAAACTGTATGTCAACTGCTAGGGGTGAATACTTGTCAGTTAGTTGTCATGGTACTTTTTAGTGGAACACTCTAATGCTTTTCGCTCATTTCAGTTGGACTGAATTGATGGAGTCCGAGCCTGGCCGCTGGACTGATCAAATTTAACACTTCTTGTCAAATTTGGTAGATGACATTTGGAGAAGGTGCGGCAGCAGATTTTGCCACCGTGAAAAAGGTGGAGCTGTCTAATGAATTACACGCATTTCGGAGGGCCTTTTAATCCCGATTGGAAGAAACAATGAGGTGTCATAACTGATTAAAAAGGGCTGATAGTTGAGGCAAACTGGCAGTCCGCTCTGGAAAGTTTGTTGACTGGATGACTGACTTTCAATGAAACATGTCTTTCCCATTTTGAAGGTCATTTTTTAGCTCAGAAAGAACAATAAGGTGTCGTCCGTCACACTTCTAAGCCACACACCAATTTTTGTGCGTGTGTGTGTGTGTGCGACCACGAGAAAGACAAGTAACAGCCATGACTACGGTCCATCCACCGGATGCAAATCCGTACAATTCAAGAGTGTGTATGTTAACTTCATGAGGAAGAGCTGTCAGGAGTCATCAGACAGGTGTCGCCTGTCGGAAGACCTCATCACTGAACTGGAGGATGGGCAGCAGGAGGTATTGACTCACCCTCCTCCTCGACCTCTTATGCCGCCTCCTCAATCTTCCAATGTCGAGCCCCACCTATTCGTGACATCTGTGCTCCACAATACCATGACCACATGTGGAATGGAACACCCGGGTGGGAGAGAACAAACATTTGTTCAGAGCAAACTCTCCACAGCTGGTCTGTTTCCCATTGGCCAAGTGATTGTCTAAGCCTATTCAGAAACGCCGCGAAATTGTTTGGTCACCTTCTAAATGACACGGTAGAGCAAATTAACACAAGGTCAGGAAAATTGCATTATTTTGAGGACTCTTTGTTGGAAGTTTAAAAGTTCATCTAGAAATGGTGCAACAATAAACACTCCCTCTTTGTGGCAATAGACGCGCCATTAATGACTAGTTTGACACTGTCCCTTTTCCATTCTCCCATCGCCGAAAAAAATTGCCACACAGCCTCGTGTCTCCATCTCGGCTCAAGTCTGTCTTACAGGCGGCTGAGGAGACTCTTCTCCCTAAACCACCGCGTTTTGTGCCGTTATCACTACCTAGAGCAGCTAAGCTCATAATTTTAAAGCTTTATAAATTTCTGCCGGAAAAATTTCCCCATTTATCTGAAGAGGCTAGCAGCTAAAGGCGTCGAGTTTATTTAGATTTAGTTCTGCCTTTTTAAATAAACATGTCAAAAGAGTAATGTGCTTCTCTGGTTTCCAGCTTTCTAAGAGGTACTCACTTTTCTTTCCTTTTTTTACCACAAAAAGAAAAGACAAACTGGGCTAGGTGTAAATGATTAGTTAATTAATGCGCTGAGAAGTCGCAAAAGCCTTCTGTTGGTTGACAACCTTAAATTGGGGAGTTTTGACAGGTGAACGGCGTCGAGTTTTGTCCAAAATGGAGCACTTGCATGACTAACCCTTCTCTCTCTCTCTCTCTCTCTCTCTCTCCCCTCTTTCTCTCTCATGTTGATCCTTCCCGTCCTGAAGAGAAGGAAATGAAAAGATTTTGATAGTACCTGTCACCTTTTCGGCGCCACTGTCATTTGTAAAACTTTCGCCTCCACCCGCATTTTTTTCTTTTAGAGTGTAGACTTTCATCACAGCTTCAGTGGACCAGGATTCGTTAATTCTACCCCTGGAGGATATCGAAGCGAGAGTTTCCTAGAGGAAGATGTCTACCGTGGTCATCCGATGGTGGCGCACTCCAATTCTTCCCAGTATCCACCACCTCTAGCTCCACCAGGACCTGCCTACTCAACCTACTCATCTCATACCCATCACACTGACACCACGGACCAACCCTTACCTCCCCGATTCTACCGAGATGCTGATCCCTGGAGTCAACAACCCTACTTCCCCTGTCCGACCAATCCTTTCGCCTCTGAGGTGTCACGAATCTTCCCCTACGAGTCCGGAGGCGGTAGTGGTAGTGGCAGCAGCAGTAGTGGATATGGACATTACAGCACCCACGGAATAGTCAATCCACTTTCGAGGAAGACAGACGTGAGAGGGAAGAATGGCTCATGGCCTGCAATCGACATGACTGGATCTAGTAGTGGCAATGGAACTGGAACGGGTGGAGGCAATTCCACGACAACTGGGGGACAGGAAATGTCAAGTAAGTGGACCTGAGCGGAGGTGGCGATAGTTTATTTGTCTTTTTGTCATAGAAAAGATCCGCACTAACATAGTGGATGCTACTCAGTAGAACGAGATTGTAAAATTTCATTTAGGTGGTGGCGGTTTGACATCCGCACGACCTGTTGATGGGCTGATTTTTGACCTTGAAGGAGGAGGGTAAAGCCAAATCAGGGGGTACAAGTATGCACCCACGCACTTGGGTGCGTGCCTCAGGTGCAAATATTTTCCCAAGAGAACTGCCTGACCGACAGGTCTGATCTGCACAAGGCGAAATGCCATCTACCTCGCAAGGGGCGCATAACTGAAGGGGGATGATGGGGAGGCAGCAGGAGAGGGGAGAGGAAAGGTAGCGAGGCAAATGTCAGAATTGGGGTGATTCAATTTACCCACCTCCGCTAACACCACCACCGTAACAGCCTCCGTGTGCTTGGCGTATGCCAATTAGCATTAAGTTCTGACCGAAGCGAATGTCAGAATTTAGCAGAGAGGGGGGTGCGAGGGGCGAGGTGAGAGGGCGGAGGGTAGGGAGAGGACGGTGGGCGGGGTGGGGGAGAAGAAAGAGTGGTGAAGAGCTTTCTACTGCTTGAATCGACCTTTTTTTGCATCGTTTCAATCGCGAAAAACTTCTATCACCCATTCGACGTGAATTAGAGGGGTAGGTGTTAACTTAGTGTTGACTTAGAGAAGAGCCTGACCTGGGCTACAGATTTCGATCAGGGCCAGAATGAGATAGTTTTTCCAGCCCGTTTATCGTAAAGCCTAAGCTGAGCTAATCTACAATCATAATAAACATAAACCACGGTGTCACAGGTCTGAAAAAATCTCATTTCAAAAATTTTTTCCTTAGTTTACTCTAGTAACCGAATAAAATTGCACAACTTTGGAGTAAAAGTGGACGAAATGGCTGATGGAATGAGAGGCAGGCCAGTCACGCAGTGTCCACTTTGCTCAAATGCTTTTTTTCAACCGAACTACGAAGCTTGGCCCCATCCATCCACATTCCTGCTGCGCCTATATCTCCCGCCATGGTGTTCCTTTTTGCATGTGATTGTGTAGCACAAATGTCATGAACGGGAGACCCTTGACGTTGGGAGTTTGGAGAGGTGGCATTGGAGGAATAAGGAGGAAGAGGACGAGAATGAGGGTGAAGGGCTATTCTCCTCTCCGAACCCTCGAGTTCAGTAATAAGGTCTATTGAAAGATTCGATATTTATTCCGACCTACTGACTACTGTCAGCCATTCCTCATGGAGAGGTTAACCTGTCCATTCTCGAGTTATCGTGGATTGCGTCGTGTGATATTGAGGAGGTAGATGCCCTTCGTTGTTATTGCTTTGTTTTCAACAGGCAAACGATTTCTAATGATCAATCCCGTTTGCTGTGTACCATACATACAGGTATTGAAAGTGCGGTCCGGGCAGTAGGGCATGGGTGGATTGTTCGGGGTTGACCTGTGATGCGAAGGCAAAAGCCATTTTGCATTGCCAGTCAATCAGTCAGTCAGTCAGTCATTGGATAATCTAAAATTAAAGGTTCATTGGGACAAGGAAGATGAGGTAGAAATGGGTTGTTTTTGAAGCCTGCCGTCTGTCATCTGTGGCTGATGAATGTAGGTTGAATCCACTTGCTTGCCCTTTACCAAGACCTCTCTTTTCCAACTATTGAAGATGCAAATCATGTTGGAGTTAACATTGGTTAGAAAAGCTGGCAATATCAAATCCAATCTGTTAAGGACACATAGGGATCCATCCATCTCGAACCCATCTTGTATCCATCAATCCATCCACCCCATAGCCATTCATCCATCCTCTATCCATCCACCCTGGATTCATCCATCCTGTATCCATTCATCCATCCACCCTGGATCCATTCATCCATCCATCCATCCACCCATCTACCCTGGATCCAT